AGTGTTGAACCAGATACCCGGGCGGGCACAAATGGGAGAGGGCAACATCCCCTCCCTCTCCCGCCCAGGTCTCCGTTATGCAAGCCAGGTCGGCCCCCTCATCCACAATCAAGTCATGGATGAGGGAAGATTTATTATTGACCGACCTGGCATTGAGCAGCAGCACCGTCAGACCCGAGGGGTGATTGACAAGGCTACCTGGCGCCCTCTGGTTGGGGGCAGGATCAGAAGGAGGGACAGGTGTCAGCCATCTGTCCATCCTTCTTCTACGTGGACACGTTAAGCCCCTATTGTTGTAACGACCATTGCCCGTGACCACGCCAATAGCAGCCCCTGTGGGTTCCCCAGGATATATAAACGTCCACACTGAAAAGATGCATCTTGTTGCTCCCAACAAAGTTTCCCTTTGGGTGTGGCAATCAGAAGCAGGCCCCAAAGCACAAACATTGTGTGGGCAGATTTTGGTTTGGAGAGGCATTCTGTCAGGTATTATGGTCTCAAGTCATGTAGGGCTTTATAGGTTAAAACCAGCACCTTGGACTCAGAAGCATATGGGAAGCCAGTGCAAGCAGGCCAGAACTGATGTTACATGCTCAGGCTGCCTGGATCCTGTTCTTAATCTGGCTGCTGCATTTTTCACCAGCTGCAGTCTCTGAACTTTCTTCAAGGACATCCCCATCTAAAGTATATTGCAGTAATTGAGTTTAGAGATTTCCAGAGCATATTTTACTGAAACCAGGTTAACCCTGTCCAGATAGGACTGTAGCTGGGCCACAAGCCAACACTGGTTGAAGGCACCCTGAGCCACAGAAGCCACCTGGACCTCAAGTGACATAGATGGCTCACAGAGCACCCCAAGGTACAAACCTGTTCCTGTCGTAGATGGGGAGTCCAGCCCCATCTAGGACAGGCTGAAGTCCCTCCCTCTGGTCAGCAGAACTCAGCAGCTCAGCTGTCTTTCCTGAATTGAGCTTCAGATTCTTAGCTCTCATCGAGTCCATTGTCACAGCCGGCTTAGCACATCCACAGCTTCACCTGCTGAGTACGAATACAAGAAACAGATCTGCATTTCATCAGTGTACTGATGACAACACACTCAGAAACTCCAGATAACCCTGCTCAGTGTTTTCATATATTACTTAGCTATCATTGATGCATTCAAGTCCTTTACTCCGAGTCTTGAGTCAAGTCTCAAGTCTACTTTCAAGTCCTAGTCAGGTCTCAAGTCATTGCAAGAAATTTTCAAGTCAAGTCTCAAGTTTCTTCTTGAGAAAGCCGCTGGGAAATCCAGGAGGACCAGCAGGGATTATACTTTCCTTACTTCAGCCCTGGCTTAGGCTGTCATTTAGGGCCTCCGAAGTGGTTCCTATGCCAAAACCAGGCCTGAATTCTGACTGAAATGTGTCTAAACAATCAGTCTCATCCCAAGAGACAGCTGGCTATCACCTGCTTGAGAACCTGGCCCAAGAAGGGGATATTTGCCACCAGCCTGATATTATTAAGATCTTTTAGGTCTGGAGAGGGGGTTTCTTCGCCACTGCTTGTTTCAGGTGGTGTGGAATCTTTCCTTTTCATAAAGAGGCACTGAATCAGCTCCCTGGCCCTGCTGGCAGTTTCTTCCCTGTTAGCATTTATTAAGCAAGAGGGGCAAGTATCCAGTATGGAGGTGATTGCATGAAGCACTGTGTCAGAATCCTGGATCTGTACTAACTGTAGCTCATCCACAACAGGTCGGAGATGCTTGTAATCAGCAGGCAGGGCTTGGGGGAACTTTCCAGGGGGACCTGGATCCCCTGCAACTTCTCTCAGCAGAGCCTCAATCCACTTGTGTAAGCCAGTAGAGAAAGGCTGACAAAATGGGAAAGGAGGCTGGTGGAGCTCTTTATTCAGTTCTTATGATCCAAGCAGAGTGTGTGTGTGTTATTCGCAAGTAAGCTTCCCTTTCCTATAAGAAACATTTGGGCAGTTTATCTAATGCTTATTTAGAACTTTATGGATTGGCAGCTATTCCCCAAAGAAAACTCTAGGAAAGAAAGCTATAGCCAAATATAATTCCAGGGCACTCTTTTTTGCTTGTCTGCCCTGACTTCATTAGGAACTGGGATTTATGGAGTTATATTTGGAAAAGTAATTCTGACTTGCTGTATCAAAGAGCAATTGGCAGACTACAGATTTCTGCATCTGAACCAGCTTTCCTTAATCACCTTGGCTTCCATCCAAACCCCACTGCATATAGACCTACATGAACAAATCATAAGGTTCACATTTTAAAAAATACATTTTGTAGGCAGTTAAATCCCAAACTTACAGGAAAATACACTTTTGATTCAATCTAGGCTGTGTGTGTGTGTGTGTGTATGTACATGCATGCATGCATGCATGCATGCTGAGTTGGCTAGCTCAGTGGATCCTTATGGCCGCTAGTCATTGTGGCCATATTCCACTTCTGGTATCAGAGGGAGTATGCCTTGGCATACCAGTGGCTGGGGCTGAGGGCATTGTTGTATTCACATCCCAATATGTAGCTTCCCACAGGCACAAGAGGGAATATTGGTCTGATGATCTGATTCATCATGACTCTTCATATGTTCTTCTGGGATGCAAGATGGCGTCTCCCCGAACCGAAGGCTGAACTCTGATACCTATGACGACTTGGCAGGCACTGGCCACAGTATCAGTCCATTGTAATTAAGGATTAATAGTGTCATAGTGATAGTGCTTGACTCTTGGTTTCCTGGGTTTCCCCTAAATGCAGCCTAACCTGTGCATTTCATACCAAGTCATAGGTTCAGATTTAACAATTTATAGAAGCAGGCTTAGCATTAATTGGTTAGATTAAATTCCCATTTAAGGATGCTTGTAGAATAACCATTTGCTTCAGCACTGACATTAGGCCTGACCTCTTTTGCATCATTGGAGGAATAACTGATTTGTCGGGGGGGGGGGGGTACTTCAGAGAAATTGCCATAGAATGCCGAAGAACCTGGGCCAAGTCACATCAAGCTAATTATACCATTTTTCTTTGGGGAGGGGGTGTTGCAGCTGCTTAGGTGTTGGTCCACCATGTCCCTATTGGAGTATGCATATGCCACTCCTCTAAATCCACTGCATTCTCATTTTTCTTCTGTTGCTCCATTTTTTTCAAGTGCCATTTTCAATTTTACAGAATAAAATAACATTACAGTGCAGCCCTTGGATGGTTAGACTGGCCTAGCACTGATATTCTATCCAGAAGTCTTCTGTGACATGGCCGATTTTTTCCCAGAACTTCCTGCATCTCTGTTACATGATCTGCCTGCAACTTTGTCATTTTCTTCCCTAAACTTGGTTTCCACCACTTGGAAATGGTGGAGATGGAAATAATAGTTGTGCATGGAGGTAGGTAGAGCCAGCTGGGAATAGGCAATGTTTGACTAACACTCTCACATTGCTATTCTGGCCTGTGTCTCTTTTTATAGAAATACGTAGACAAGGAATACGGAAGCAAGTACAGTGGTACCTTAGCTCACTAAGTTAATCTGTTCCACGACTCTTGTTGTGACCCAAATTGGTTGTGGCCCAAGTCAAATTTCCCCATAATGTTCAATGTAAATAAGGTTAATCCATTCTGTAACCATTTTTTTTAATCAGAAAAATGTGAAGCAAAGTGACAAAGAACAACAAAGATTGAGGCCATCTCCCCCTCCCCACCCCGAGCACAAGCACGGCCATCTCTCCACCCCCGCCCCCAGCACACCGGGATGATGGGTGCATGCAGGGATGACAGGCGTGATTGTGGGCACACTGGGGGAGAGAGAGACGGGCGCGAACAGGGCTGGGTGAGGGGTGGAGATGGGTGCGATCATGCTGGCGGGGGGGCAGAGATAGCTGAGATCACAGTTGCATTCCAAGACAGGCGCAATCTTGGCCATCTCCCCCCACCTTGCCCTCAGCACAATCGTGGTCATCTCCCCACCCGCGGGGGTGAAGGGAGATAACTGCGATCGTGCTGGTTATTTATAACAATGTCTTCATCCGCCAGCAAAAATTACATAGTGCTATAGGGCTGACTGTCCCCTGATTTAATTCCACCAGGCCTAAAGCTCAGGAAATTTGAAATGCTAAGCTCTAGTATCTTTAAATTTGCCCTTGGCAATGGAGTCCCCAAAACTAAAAGGATAAAGAGAAGCCAGACTGCATGCCAGTGCATTCATGCACATGAGAGTGCTGTACTTACTTACATTCCTTAAAAACTACATGATTGCTTTAACTGCTGAACATCTTTCTTTTAATTTTTTCATGTAAATGTATCCACTTCCTCCACAGCTGACATTAAACACAGAGGTAAATTCTCTATTTGGAAATGTAAAGCAAGTGAGATCTAAAAGCAGCAGGGCATTCTGCCTCTGACACAATCCTTCTTCCCATTATTTGTTCTTTTCTATTTCTCTGCAGTCTTCTGTCTTAATATCTTGTGTTGTGCACTTATTTCCTCATATTCTTTCCATTTGACACTTGCTGCACGGAAGAAGATGACCCAGGGGCAATAAATGATCCTAGTTCATGTGACACAAAAGCAGCAAACATGCCAATATGTCAGGGAACTGTTTGACGTTACCACCAGAAATAGACCATTCACATCCAGAGTATTACTAATTCTGTTGCTAAAGTTAAAAGTGGTAGAGAGGGGGACACCATGTTGACATGTCAGAATGTTCAACGTTTATTTCTTTGAAATCCAGAAATTTACTATGTTGTGATTTTTCAGAAGTGTGGGCAAAGGGATGGCCTTCAGCACTGTTGATTTTGTTTTCTCCCAATTTTGTAACAATGGCAATAAAAATAGAGACTCTGTCCATCTCATCCCTGCTCCCATACAAATGTGCGCACACACACGCACGCACATCTTACAGTAAAACAATAAATGATTTTGGCAGTGGATGATCATTGAACATTGTTAGCAAACCTGGCACACTTCCAAGAGAACAGAAAAGCTTTTATTTCTCCTCCTTTTGTTGCAGATGGACCCAATTCAAAAAGCCGTAATAAATCATACGTTTGGGGTTCCTCTTCCTCACAGAAGAAAGCAAATCATATCGTGCAACATTTGCCAGTTGAGATTTAATTCAGATGTAAGTAGAGAATTTATATCTTCTTAAAAATATGTGTGCATGAGATAATGTTGGTGCATAAAAAGAGAATGCATATATGGTTTCACATTAGACTTATGGTGAACGAACTATAATGTTTGTGATTACTTAATACCTGCTGACTGATCTTTCTGTTATGAGGTTTTATTTCTGCAGTTTCAATTCCACCTGTCATTTTGCTTGCCCACATGCATACACCTCTTTGTGTGTGCGTGTGTGTGATGGAAGGATAGATACATCATCCCTTCAAGCACTAAAACTCTTCACGCTTCACTCATTTGCAAACCTTGAATGTGGCGGCTTCCACTGTATGGGAACCAGAGGTTTTTACCTATGGTCATTATTCCTTTCCTGAAGGTGACATGGTAGCAGTTTTGTCCTCTGTAACAGTAACATTGTGATCACCATGTGAACTGAATCTGTATTTGTCAAATCAAATAAAAATAGCAGAAGTGCACTTAGTACAGTAATTCCTGACCTGTTAGAATTCAAACATTGCATGTTTGAATGTTTGCCCATGTGAATAAGATGCCCATATAAATTAACACAGAGAAAACAAATAAACCTAGAGTAGAATTTTAGGTCAAAAGTCAATCACTTTCTTGCAGTCTGAAATGATACAATCCTAAACCATGTAGTTGTTTCGTGAGCTTTTATCTGCGACATCGTACGTAAACTTCACATGTGGAGGGGAGAGATGCTAGAAAAAGTGGGTATCAACAAATGGACTTCCTGGTGTACTTTTCCTCACTGTGAGAGAAAGACATGCAGATATCTTAGTTTAGAAAATCAGTTGATTGTGTTATTGCTATTAATTTGCTGTCAGGTGCATTAAATATTCTTAGAAAAAATATTGCTGCTGCTTCTGCCAGCGCTGATATTCCAGGACACAGTTTTCTCCAAGCTTACCAACTGTTCTTTTCAAGGATATTTCAGGATTTTCTTGTTTTCTTGGTTCTCCATGAATACATTGCCCAACCACAGCAAACAGACAGGGGGAGAAAGTATCTGAAAAAGAGCAAATCAATAAACAAAAGAACCCTAAAATGAAGCATACATGCTTGGTCAGGAAAAAACCTGCAGATCACTGTCTGGTCTTGCCCTGTCTGGCCTCTTCCTTCTATTGGCACAGTGTGTCAATGGTGCACAAGAACAGACAGTGGATCTCAGGATTTATGTAGCTGAATAACAGCTTCAATAGGGAAAGGCATTGCAAACATTCTGCCTCCACCTTGCCATGTGCGCCTATAATAAAACTGGGAATAAAACTGCTTATTTGCACGCATAGGCTTGAGGAAAACAAAATGAGCAGGTAGCTATTTTATTGATTTCTGAAGTCACACTAGATTTATCTGCATTATAAGCCTTGCCCACCCCATCTCTTGAATCAAACATTTCTTTAAGTTATTTATTGGAACATTTGTAATATAACAAATGATTTCACCTGATTGCACTGTGAGCCTCGTAAAAAATGAATGGATATGAAAAGTCCCTTTATGAAACAATGGCTTCTCTAGATATAGGTAGAACACTTTTTTACATGCCAGAGATAGGATTTATATGTCAGACAGTAGACAGAAACTCATTTGTCTATGGTACACTTGTGTTTTCAGTATTATCACCCTTCACCTTTTCTGTTCAAGATAAATTAACTTTTGATAGAAATCCCTTTTAGTGGGGAAGCTCTCTTCTAATCAGAAAATCTCAAAATAAAGTTTCCCTGGAAAAGTAAGAAAAGACAACACACTGGTCCGAAACAATTGCTTGTTCTTTCTATAGCAGTTTTCTGTGAATCTTCAAATCGATTGTCTGTCCAGTATTTCTTTTTCTAGTGCAAGGGGTAAGAAGAGTATGTAATTATGTTGCAATCCAGGGCCTGCTGGAAGAAAATAGTTGAGGTGGCCACTGTTTACCAGCTTTAAGCATTACTGTCTTGCCTACCAAGTTTGATCTGCACTTCATCTCTGAACTTAGTACAGGGCTATTTTTGGCAGGAGCTGCTTAATGGTTAAAAAAATTCCTAAGCCATTTTAAGCCTTGCAAAAACTCGGCTATGCAACCGGTCCAGAAAAACACTTAAACTGTCTGTTTCATTTAGACTGTAAGAATCAATCCTATGAGGGAAATAGATCTGAGCCCACATAGGGATGTGGGAATCAGCAGGACTCAAGGTTGCTGAAGATACTTGAATTTCTTGAACTTGTTCCGATTTGAGCCTGCCTGAGATCGCAAACTTTATTTTTCTTTTCACACACATATTTTCCCAAATGGACACATCAGTTGTGTTTCCCTTTGAAATATGCTAATTATTCCATTATTGATTAAAATATATTTGCTCACATTTTCCAAGAAGATGCATATTTTCATATATTTTTTTCAAGCGAATGCATGCTGCTTAACACAATATTTCAGGTCTGCACTGCAAGCACAGATGATATCTGAGTCAGTTTCAGTCTGGAAAGTGTGAACTGCATAAATTCTGATTTTATTTTTTTTAAAGTCTTATCTGGAACAAATTGGTCATGCATCCTTAAGCCCTCAAGAAATCTTTTTGAAGCATTGAGCCATTAGACACAGAGGCCTTCTAGTCTAACATGAGTATAAAAGTAGGTCCTCCTACCACCAGCATCCCAGGAATCATCTAATCCCATCGAGAAACGCATTAAGCCAGAAGCAAAGAACCGGGTGCACTCCAGAAACATGCTTACCAAGCCAGTAGCCTCAAATGACCCAAGTAAAAATGCCAACTCACTAAGTACAAAGAAAGGCTGATGACCTCCATGATCTTGCTGCCTTGAGCCACTTGGTTGAAATGATGGAAGTCACTTGCAGAAGAGAATACCATCTATATGTTTGCAATGTCAGGAATTATCACTCCCTCCAAAAAATGGTCCACATACAACAGAATGTGTGAACTGGTGGTTCTTCTGGATAAGAGATGGTGTTCAACCCATTCAGAATGGGAGTGCATTTCCTTGAAAGTCAAGATTAACAGTCAAAAGACCTGTTAGATCCAGTGCTGGCTTTGGATCATAGAATCATGGAATAGTAGAGTTGGAGGGGTCCAGGAGGCCATCAGGTCCACCCCCCTGCTGTTGCAGGACACTAAATTACACCATCCCACTCAGATGACTGTGCAGGTGCTTTTTGAATGTCTCCAGCAAGGGAAAGCCCACAACTTCCCCAGGTAATAGGTCCCATTGTTCTACAGCGATGTCAGTGAAGAATTTCTTCCTGGTGTCTAGTCTAAATCTGGTTTCTTTTAACTTAAGTCAGTTATTTGGTGTTCTGCACTCTGAAATGAACCAGAAATATCTTGTCCTTCCTCTTTGTGACTTGTCTTTCAGGCACTTGTAGAATGGTATCATATCATCATTCAGTCTTCTCTTCTTGAGGCTGAACATGCTCAGCTCTCGAAATCATTGTCCTCCTCTTTACCCTCTCTGGAGTTTCTGCATCTTTTTAAACTTAAGTGCCCAGAACTGACAATGTGGCCTCATAATGTGAACGATGTGACACAATGTTCCTTGCAGAAGTAGCCTGGTCAGAGTCAGCCTTTGCCTGGTAACACCTGATTTACTTAAAAGACTACAATGAGTTGTACGTGGGTCCCCTTTGAAGACCATTCAGCTCCTACAGACAGTGAAAAAGACAACCACATATTTATTAGGGCTATACTTCTGGGCAGATCTTATCCATTCTTGGATGGTTGCACTGGTTTCCGTTTTGTTTCTAACCACAATTCCAGTTGCCGCTTTTCCTTACAAATCCCTGTGGCAATGGAAAGGCTGCACGGTCCTGCATCACCCTGCCTGAATGTTAGCTTCAGCCTCTAAAGCTGTTTTCCAAGTCTGTCTCTCTTCTGAAGAAAGGCCCAGTAGTAAGTGGGACAGGATCTACACTGCTATCTTGATCCACCTCTGCATTTTATTTCTTTGAAATATTTATATTCCCATCTTTCTTTGAAAGTCCAAAATGGACGGCTCCCTATGAACAATAAAAGATAAAACATATTTTAAGACCCCTGGACAACATAAAAAGACCACCAGTTCCCCCGAGAACATTCACCTGGTGGAGTTTCTGTTTCTGGTGCTAAGTGAAAACATTTTTTACTTGCCTTTTAGGTGTTTTCATGTGCAGGTCTTCTTTTATACTTCCATTTTATTTTCCTCTGCCATGATCTACTTTCATGTCATTTCAGTTTAGATTTTGCCAGCTTCTTTGGGAAGCTGTTAAACATATTCCGGGAACAAATGGAAATAAGCAATACAGCAACATTCACACATAACACATGGCTCAGCTTTACCATTTGAATGGCTTGGGTACTTAATCATTTGTGTAGTTTGTATCTTTAGGTCACATAACCATGGCAGAAGTGTCTACCAAGTCCTTCCTCCACTGGGAGCTCCACCAGCTTCCCCCCACCCACACACACACCATCTCCCCGTTGATCACCTACTTCTCAGGAACCTCAGAAGTTTTGGGGACCTCAGAGAAGGGAGGGTGTGCCTAGCATCTCCCTTCTCTGTTGGAGGGCTTCAGACTGCCCAGTGAAAGGGGCACTTTCCTCTCCTTGCCGGCTCTCTCAGAAGTCTACCTGGTAACCTCCAACTGGGTGGCCGACTGCCTATGCTGTCGTGGAAGAAGGGGAGAAGATGAAAGGTGCTTGAACACTTCACACTGCTAATTCACATGCCTTCTCAGGCAGGGCAGCTTTTCATTTGCTGCTCTGCATGCAGCAAAGGAACCCCGTAAGGTCTGCTGCAGGTTGGAAGCTGAGTCTGCTTTAGCTGGATGTGAACTTTAGCATGCGATCACAATTGCTTGGCAGTTGAACACATGCTCACCATACTTCAAAAGGTAGTCTATAAATGTGGCAAATAAATAATAACCATGCTAATTTGAGAAGCATACTTTTTGACTGTCTGAAGATGTCTGAATATCCTAGCCAAGAATAAAGATTCCCAAGGATAATTTTAAAA